CCACCAAATGCTCTAAAGCTTCTTCCTCGCAGCAGCTAGTCGATGGTGGCCTCCAGCCGCGAATCTTTATTTGCCTTTTGCTACTGGATGCTCGTTACTACTACCTTAACATAAGCAAGCATTTATTAGAGGCGCAGCTACACACATGCATACAAACATACATATGTACGTATGTAAGTTGCAACAAATTGTTGCATGTTTGCGAATTGTAAATTTGCTATTGGCAAATGCCACAATCGATTTATTTGCGCGCACAAGTCCAAGTTGAATACGAAATTTTACCGTCTGCGTAGCACAAAGGCAAGCATTGTATGTATGTAGTATGTACTCATACCTAGAGAGATGTGTATGTTTGTTTATTTAAATTTGCATTGGCGCGTGCCTGTATTTGTTCTAATGGTTTATGGGCAACACAGAGGCAACATATTTGTTGCAAATACGAAGCGCGATTGCTACCATTCTTGATGCTGCAGCAGCAAAATTCCTGCCGCGTACAAAGGTGAAAAGTTGCTGGCATGGCCACTTAGAAATCCTGTGATAAATTCCGAAAAAAATAATCATTGAAGAGAAGTGAAAGAGCAGCAATTTTTATGTGTTTTTTTTCTACAGCTATTAAGCTGCTTAGTTGAAAATTGCGAGCAGTGTATTGGTGTGAGTGCTCTTGCATGCAAATAAGCCTCAGATGTTTGGGTGTGATAGCTAATTTATTGTCACTCGTTCTTGCCACATCTGCAACGCGGCAGGCAAACGCCCTCGCAGCGGACTCTTGCTGCATGCAGTTGTTGATTGTTTTCAATTTCGTTTTCATTTTCATTTGATTACGCATACACTAACGCGCACTTATTGAATGCATATGTGCATACGCAGATACATACAAACACGCATATGTAAATGCATACGAATTTATGCGTATGCAACACAATCTGTTGCATGATTCATCGCAATTGTACGACCATGAAATGTTGCATATAAATAAAAGTGTGCATTTGTATGTAAATATAAGCAAAAAACATGTACGTACGTATGGTTGAGCATATGTATGTGTATGTAAATTTATATGCATGGCATTTGCTACAGATGTTTGCGATATGCAATTGCACTTATTTACATACAAAAATAACATAGCTACATACATACTTACTACTGTTTGTGCTTAACTTAAGTCGTATAATTTACATACAAACAAATGTGTGCATATGTATATGTAGAAATGTTTAAAATTCAGATATAGATCTGTATGCGATCGCGGGCTCTCCCAACGCGCCTCCCGTGCACGATTAATGGGTCTATGCTGAGTTGTTGATCTTTGTTGCAGATATTTGCGTTCATGGGTGGGTGAACTCTACAAATCGCCAACAGTGGGATGTAAATTGAGATTTTTGTATAAATTCGAACACACAACCGAAAGATACGTAAACATAATCGTATAAATGATAAATTTACCATTCAAAAAGATCTTCAGTTTTTTTTTTTTTGATATTAAAAAACAGTTAAATTTCTAACAGCCGGTTTCACCAGCAATTTAAATGGTGATTTTTTATTTTCTGTCAATTTCCATATAAAATTCAAAAAATCTAAATAATTTTTCACTTAAATTGCTCTCGTGAAATTGGCTGTAAGAAGCTACGTTTAAAATTATAGTTTTTTATATACATTTTTTTTTTATTGCAAAGTGCAGAGAAAGAAGAACACCGTGTCTATTCTTCCTGTTAATAAATGTTACATATTAAAAACTAGATGAAAACAATTAAAGACGCATAAGTTCGGGCGAAACCGAAATTTATATACCCGGCGCAGGTATCAAATATCGTCGTTTCAACTTTCTCTAAACTACATTTGCATGATAAACAGGGGGTTTTCCCGATTTCAAACGTTTTCGATAATATGCTGAATTAGAGTCAATGAAATAATCGAACCAACTTTGATAGAAATCCATAAAGTGATTACCGAGATACACCTTGTAGTCATAGAGTGGGCGGTGCCACGCCCAATTTCTAAACGTCTATAGCAGTCTTATTTATTGTTAAGAGATTGTTGTAACTATTAACTTGAAAGTTATTGAAATATTGGAGTTTTCGAATGTCTGAAATTTACCGTTATACAGGAAGTGAGTGCAATTTTAGTCTGATTTGAATAATTTTCAGCGAATTTCTTCCTTGCACTAAGGTTATTAAGTGAACTGAGTTTGGTAGAGATTGATGAATCAGTTACCGAGATAAACATTTGTGGTCATAAGGGGGAGGCGCCACACCCATTATTCCAAAATGTATAACAATCTAATTTCGTGCTAAGTGGTTATTGTAATTATCGATTTTGAGTCAATTAGCTTCAGTAGTTATTGATTTATCGCAGTTTTCGTGTTTCTGTAAACTACCGTTATATGGGACGTGGGCGTGGTTATTGCCCGATTTCAACAGATTTCTTGGCTAGGCCCTAGGCAAGGCTCGTATCGAGTTTGGGAAGGATTGGTGAAGCGGCTACTGAGATACAGCATTCCATCATAAGTGGGCGGGCTCACGCCCATTTTCCAGAAATGTTTACCAAAATTATGCTTCGCATACTAATTTTCAACAATTTGGATCCAACATTTACTGAAATTTCGTAGTTTGTATTTTTTGAAAATACCGTTTTATGGAAAGTGGGCGTGGTTATAGTCCGATTTCGACCGATTTCAATAGAGATATCTCAATTTATCAATTTATCTCTTGTTATCGTGTACACGGACACACGGACAGACAGACACACAGTGGTTCGGATAGCAGATCTAGCTGGACGAAAGTCAACATTTTTTTGTTTTTAAAATAATTAATGGTACTTGGAATACATTCCTGACAGTACATTAAAATAGAAATTGCATTTATTAAAGCATTAGCATATGAAAACAAACAAAAAAAGGTAAGTCAACGCCGCCTATTTGAGAACTCTATTTTAAAAGCTGAAATTTAACTTAAAAGATTGCTAATTGCACTCACAAATATTTGCATAATTGCAAATTGACTTTATAAACAAAAAATTACACTTATTCCGCTATAGATTCAGGGGTCATAACGCAATTTATGTCCACATTGGTATAAGCAAATTTATTCTGAAAACTCGTCGTTTTTATTAATTAAAAAAATAAATTGAAGAGTAGGAAAAGTAAAGGCCACCAAAGGCCGTTATAAAACCACTTGCATATTATTCTTTACACCTTCGCAAATGCAGGGGGTAAGTTCGATAACCAAGCCTAACCAATTGGCTTAGATATTTACATTTTAGTGACAGTATGTCAAATCTCAAAATTTAAAAGTAATTATTAACAGCAATGTATCTGAATAAACATATAAGATCAGTGGCGGATCCACCGGGAAGAGGGGGTGGAGGGGCAGGGGTTGTGTGTTAAAACAGAAAAATACTTGGAGTTATAAAAACTTTGGTTATGTAAGAGTTAAAAAAAATAGTAACTCGCGAATTTTCTGCTTTCTGAAATTAAAAAATTATACAACAGGCGTGCAAATCTCTAAGCGCTGTTATAAATTTTTTTCTGAAATTTATTTGTGTTTCTTGCAGTGATCTTAAATTTTAGTCATGGTAAAGAAAATCTTAAGAAGTGAGTTGTTTGACATTTGGAGAAGTGTTGCTGAAACTTCTAAAAGACAACAAGGTGTCCGTGATTATGTGATTAGTAAATTGAAAGAAATATCTGATGAAAATGCTCGTTCCGAAGTAAATTAAGTAAATGACTTTAGATATGTAATCAGCGACCCAGAAAACCCAGATACCCAGTTTCATAGAAATCTACCGATTTTTTTTAATTTTCGTCCGCCATATTGGATCCGCCATTTTGAATATTTGATAAGTGACTTCAGATTCGTAATCAGCGACCCAAAAATCCCCTAGGTAAGAAGTGGTGTAAAGATCCATCAACGAGTATTTGGTTAAATAGTTTCGTCCAGCTAGATTTGCAATCCGAACCACTGTGAGACATGGCTTAATCGACTTCTCTATTAATTCTGAGCATGTATGTAAACATTTATCTATATCTATCTCGATTCGTTTTGGCGGTTACTAACAACCGTTATGTGAACAAAGTGATAAAGTTCTCAGAATTGCATAATATAACGGCATGTTCTGAAATTCCAAAATTTGAAATCGACTCGATTCATCGACTCATTTTATCGATGGTTTTTAACACAAAAATTTAAAAGTCTCGCATTAATTTTTAAATGTATTGTAAAGTTGGAAGGTTGAAATTAAATACTTACACTTACATATATATGGGCGAATTAAAATTTACATACATACATACATATGAATTAATGGACTTTTTTCCGTTATGTATGGGGAGTTTAAAAATTTCTCTTTAAAAATAGTTATTTAAGGAAATTAAAATTAAAGACTATAAATATTTTAAATACATATTTGAAAAAAATATAGTTTTATTTATATTATTTATATTTTTTATTTCAGTTTCAACACTTCACAATATTGTGACCATTACTGTATATTCATGCAGCGCCCATCGCCACCCGATGCTTGAATAGCAACACATTCAGCCTGAAAGCGCGCTACGTTAATTGTTGACATGACAACCGACGAAGTGATTTTGCGGTAAGTCTATGCTTCTTCCAGTGGAACAACAAGAAAACCAACGTCTAACTAATATAAGCTCCCACATGCTTATGCTAACAAGAATTGCTATCAAGTTAAAAATTCTTAGAATTATGTGAATATTGAAGAGCTAAGCCATACTGCGCTGGCAGTATGTCTTAGCAGAAAGAAGATGAGATATTAGTTCGAATAACAGACGAAGTTTTCCCTAATACGCTTAGCAAATCAAATAAATGGCAACAGATTTAGATCTTTCGTATGCACGTATATTACTGTGTGTGTATTATCTTTATTTAATCTCCAATATTTTTATATTTTTATTTTCATTCATTTTTTGTTATGTCTTTATTTAAGTAGGTAGTTTACCTAACTACCCGTTTTGTCTGTATATTTTTACAATACAATCTACTTCGTTTCAATCACATTGAAGTGCTTAACTGTTGCTACCGCCGGCAGGTCAAAAGGTGGAAAATTAAATTAAGCATAACATGTTGGCCGGCATTCTTCCTTCCACATACATACGTTCTTAGCTATACACGCGCCATGCCACGATCCGGACGATGTGCACGATAAGCGATGTGTGCACCAGCAGCAGCTGTCTCGGCAGTCTTCGACTCATCACTTGTTTCTAATCCTGCCTGCGTCGCTTTCAAAGCCGCCAGATCTCGTCGCCGTCTTCGTCGTTTGCCCACAACTGTTGCTCCAGCCGGCAAGCCGGAGAATGTACCCAATTGTAGCAGTAGCGGATTACTCACCAACGCTGCCGCGATGCCCAAAACTGCCGCCGTGGCGAGTGGTATGAGGAAGCTCTTGGCTAACAGCGCCTTCGGCGACAGCTCGTGCGGTCCCTTGTGCGCTGGTACCTCTTGTGGTCCGTTTGGGTATGTGTATGAATACTCACCACCCGCACCCGCATATTGACCGCTGCCTTTACCGCCATAAATGTCGAAGGGTATAGCGCCGATTTCAGCGCTGTTGGCACCACCATAGTAGCCGCCATGTCCGCTGGCACCGTAGTGACCGCCAGCATGTGGCTGGCCATAGTCGATGTAGTGTCCATCTGCGTATGGACGCGTCTCTGGGTAGCTGTGGTGCGCGCTCCCACCGGCATTGCTATGTGCATAGCCTGATGTTAGGCCGTGTATTTCGCTGTTGCTGAAGGGTTCTGAGAGTGACGTAAAGAGGGAATTGAGAATATTGAGTGACAGAAATTGACTTTGAACACTTGAACATATATGTCTTGGCACTTACTCACACTGATCCTATCAAGAGCGCCTTGTCCGCGCAGCTGCTGCCAGTTGTTGAATGAATTTGCGAGCTGCTGGCTGGGATCGTTGCTGTTATGCTTTTTGTGCCCAATTATGTCTGGAAAAGTTATGGGTTTAGAGACGAAGCTGGATGTAGCGCTGTCGCGATTGTGATATGGTGCACCAGGTGATGTCACAGAGGAGCTTGGAATGGAAGATGTTTGGCTTGTTGAGCCCGGTCCTCTGGAAAATTAAAAAAAATAAATTAGGGGAAGATTAATCAGATATGGAAGTATGCCATACGGAACTATAATCTAAGAACAGACAACAGACAAACTTAGGACTGATTATTTGTGGATCAAACATTGGAATCATTGAAGGAGAGAAAGGCTGCCTTACTTTGCTTAAGATACTCTTATCTTAACAAGACGGACTCGCAATTTGCAGAGCTTGGAGAGGGTGATCACTCCTTTGAATTACCATTGGACATGAGAGTTTTTCCACCTTCCTCA